ACTTCTTGGAGAAGTGTGGGATTGCTTGAAGCCTTTGGATCCAGGCTTGTTGCATCTTGATCTACATTTGGAGGTATAAAGTTTCTATCTTGATGAATCTAGGTGTTAGATCTAGTTTAAGGAGTATTTTGGGTTCATTTTGGTCCTTAGAGTCATCCTTGTGAGTATGAGCTACTCCATGAGCTTAGAATGTTGGATCTTGGCATGTGAAAGGTTCCTTGTTCATAAAAATGTCATCTTGATGAGACCATGCCTAAATTTAGGTGTTTTCTATGGATTTTATTAAGGTTTTGGTACCTTAAACCATGCAAAGGAGTAAAGTTGCCAACTTTACGCGTTAATACATCTCATTAGGGTCATATTTGAGTTTAGAAGTCATTATCTTGACCATTAAGAGCATAATATGTATTTTTGGTCTCTAATGGGTACGATGGGCATACGTATGAGTAGGCTCAACATAATGGGAGTTTCGTGCATCAATCACTTGTACCTTGTGCTTCATTGCTGAGTACATGGGGCGTACGTCTCTGGTACGCAGGGCATACTCCCTATAGTTGTTATTTTGGTCCTTTTAAGTTTTGGGCCTTGTTGGGCTATTGGACTTCTGATTTTGGGCCATGTTTTGACTGTGTGCCTTCTTAGAATTGGTCACATGATAGTTTTTGGGCCCAATTAGGAAGTTGGGCTATATTGGGCTTTAGGTTGCCATTTTGGGCTTTTTGTGCAATTGGGTTGGGCTTTGGTATTGGGTCAAGTAAGAAAATGGTAAAATGGTATTTTACCCTTTAGGAAGTAGGTTTATAGAGTGGGGCTCAGGTTTTGGGTTTCAGGATAATTATTGATAAAGTTTTGTATTTATTGTTAGTTGGCACAAGGTTATTCAGTTCAGCAGCCCGAGTAGTCATTTGATTATCACCGGATCGAGGTAAGTTTCCTCACTGTGTTAGCGGGCTGAAGGCATAAATTCCGGCCCATGGTTTATTATGTTAGGATGCTAGATGTCTGCGTGACTCTTGCATGTGTTATGTGATGGAATGCTTACTTGGCAATTCCCCGATGGCGGGCAAGGCTCGATGACTATATTGTATGTTATTGTCTTTGTGATTATCGGATGTGTTCGTATGATTATATGTTGATATGTTTATATATGTACCGAGTGGGGCTCGATGCTGGACGGGGCCTGATGACTAATAGGTCTGTATACCGAGTGAGGCTCGATGTCGGGCGGGGTCCGATGTCAGGCGAGGCCTGATGAAGAGCGAGGTCCCAATATGTGATTATTATGTATGGTATGGGGTATTTTGAGAAATTACTAAGCTTTGTGCTTAACCAAGGAACCGAGGGATCATAGAAGATCCAGCCATATCAACATGAAATATCACTTTATTAGACATCGGGTAGAAGAGGGACTTCTCGTAGTAAAGAGGGTATCGTCAGAAGAGAACCCATCAGATACCCTTACGAAGGGACTGAGTAGGGTTAAGCACTTGCAGCACGGTAGGAGCATTGGGATGAAGGGCGATATAAGTTTTAGTGATTAGATAGTTCTGAAACGTGTAATAAATAAATTGTAATTAACGTTTGATGATTAAATAAAGGAGTATTATTTATAAGTAAAGTTACTGTCTTGTGTTAATTATTTACCTATTGTTTCACTTTGCATGTTTTGACTTCCTGAATAATAAGATTATTCGAACAGTCCACAGTCATTCATATATTGGAAGTAGATATGAAAGAAGACTGTCGTTAATTGGTTTGTAGACTGTCTAAAGTGTATTAGGCATAGCAAAAGCTTGCTGCAATGTTCATGAATGCTTATGAAATAAGATTTGAGCATTGGATTAAACCCACACTTACTTATATCACTTCATGAAATTTATCACGAGCGATCGTAAGACGATAATATCATATAGTCTTTAAAGCTAGATATATGGTTTATTGTTTGCGAGTTGGTTATGCATTGATAATGCATAAACGCATCAGTAACGTGATGTTATAAAATGCATTTTTGTGTATGATTTGATGAGTGAATAGTAAATGCATATAAGTCGAAGTTTATCTGTTCCTTTTTCCTAAAAGGGTCAAAGCGATATCTGGGCCCCTCGATGATTTGGTTTGACTTATGTGTCCAGCCCGGTCTGGACTGAGTTGATGTGTTCAATTAAGTTCTATGTCAGACAAATCAGAGATCGAGAAACAAACTGCTGGACAATAAGTATGGCTATGTTCCATGTAATTGTCCGCACGATATATTGAGAATGGAGGACTATATGATCTCTTATGTAAAGGATGAGTAAGAGTTCGACAACGACTTTTGAGAACTACGATTGCTAATAGGATTTTGAAGTCATACTTGCATCTATAGTTATTAGACTTATCCAAGTGGGAGACTGGTGGATTAGTGTCTAAGTCCATAACTATATTTGGTATGTACTTGACTCGTTTGTAGCATGGTCATTTTGGGTTGCCTTCACCGGAGCAACTTGACTTGATGATTAGTGAAGAAAGAGGATATTATGGCTTAGTAATATATTATATGAATAATATATTAAATGAGAAATCATATTGATTAATTAATATTAGTCAAGAATTAATTAAGAAATTAATTTTGTGATCAAAAGATATTAATTAAACTTAAGGGACTAGAATTGAAATTATAAGATAATTGGATTTTGGGCTGTGGATCATATGAATTAAGGGGTGGACGAAATTAGGGTGGAAGCCCACCTTGAAATCGTTCAAGGCCTTATTCCAGAAGGTTCCATTGGACTGCTTAAGGCCTAAGCTATCCAATTAGGGTTTTGACTAAAACCCTAGCAGCTCCACTATATAAGGACCCCTAGGGCTTCAGAAATCGGCTACCAAAAACCCTAAGAAGTCTTAGAGCCGATTTGAGCCTCTCATCCCCTCTCTCCAATATCATCCAATTTGCTTTGGTGTTTGTGATCCATTAGAGGCATCACATTTGAGATGCTAGGTTCTCATAAGCTAAAGATCGTCAAGCAACAATCAAGGTAACATTCTTATTGCTTATTTATGTTATTTTCAAGTTTTGTTGTATGCTAGATTAGGATGTGTAAGCTTTGGATGATTTGCATGTACAATAGAGAAACCTAGATCCAAAGCTTTAGGGTTTACATGTGCAACATAGGATCGATGTATTGCTCAAAACCCATCAATAAGTGCTTAAAGAGAAGAAACTTTGTGATTTTCATTTCTAGCACCAAACGGAACAAAGAAGAAGAGAGGGAGAGCATGACAAATCCAAAAATTGGCAGCCTTAGTTTGGAGAAAGAAGTGAGTAAAACAGGTAGCCAAAACTCGTCTAATACCTTTCATTTATACCAACACTTAGTACAAAAGTAATACATATAATAATGAAATCATTAGGATTTCTTACAGGCATGTCATGAGGTAATAAGCAAATCAAAAAGCATGTCTAACACCATCATTTCATATAGGTCACACAAAAATGAAAAGTTTTTTACTTTATTTAACTAGCTAGGTACATATGTTAACTTGATGGTTATTCAAAGAGACCAAAAAATTGTACATAACATTTAAATACATACCTTATGTATATTAAGCTAGTTTTGTTCTCTTTGTTATTATTTCTTAGAAACAATAATTCTGAATATGTTGGTAAAATATTATTTTCACAAAAATAATATTTTTCCAATTAAATACAAGTGTTGATATTTATTAATAATCTAAATTACTTTAATAAATAATCAATTAATTGTAACTTGCTATAAGGTATGACTCTATAGGATCATATGTCATTAGTAATATAATTATATAATGACTCCTGAGCATACAAGATCTTTCACTTTCTATCGGAGTTAGGCATTAAACAATAAGACTTTGCCCTATATTGTGATAACTAACATGCAATTCTCCAGGAAAAGAATATGTGTTTCACAACAAAACAAAACACATTCATTTGAGGTAACATTTTATCAAGGAGTTAGATTATCCAAGATACACTGAATCTAAAGAAGTTATGTGGTAGCGATGGGCTTTTAACCGAAAAAACAAATCCGATCAAGACTAAACTGAACCAGAACCGATTAGAATTACTTAGTGGTATTCAGTTCAGTTCCTGATTCCCCCAATCCCTCATTTTTTATTTTCGGTTCTTTCAATATATGTCCAATTCGGATTGATTTCAATGTCGAATACCTTCTTAGATAACACATTTACTAAGAGACCTGAGAAAGACCCGAGAACCAGAACCGAACCGGAATCAGAACCGATTAATGGATTCAATCCAATTCTCGGTTTCCCGTCCACTCCTTGACCGATTTTAGGTTCTTCCAGTTTTTGTCCGGTTCGTGCCAGTTCCAAACCGATTTATGTCCCTAATATGCGATACGAAAAGAATCCAACAAACATGTTTACCAAGAGAGTGGCATAAAAGTTAAAGATATGTATAGCTTCAACTGGTCAATTGAAGACTTGAGGTGAATGTGCAAACTAGAAAAAAGATGTTGTCTATATAACTTGGATGACAACAAATTGAATGACAGCCTCCAAGTGAGAGATTATTGAGCCTCCAAGTGAGAGATTATTGAGTTGTGGAGACTGATATATCCTTTCACCATTGAACTAACTGATAGCGAAGCATGAGCACAAAGTTACAATAGCAAAACCTCGACAGAGAGCAAGCAGCTTGGTGAAGCTGGCTAAATGGGTGAAGTCTCAGAGTGAGGTTATTGTCGAGGACTAAAGCGCTAGAATGTTAGAAGCAAAGGTTGGTCAATCTAACCAAGTACACCACATTAAATATTTGTGTTCTTATTGTTATTCACATCTTTATTATCTTGTTTTGTGTTTTGTCGAAGTCCTTAATCCCAACGTACACTCCATGCATGACCTCAAGTAGCGACTTTTGATATGTAACTCTATAGATGATGATGAACATGATCATGAGATCCAATCTTGGGTATCCCATTGTATATTGTATCACGATTGTTATTATACTATTATTAGTGTTTATCCTTGATTTTTGTATTAGTTTAAACATAAACAAGTCACCATGAACAAGACCCATTCTTTTTTGAATACCAGATACAACATTACCCTATCATGAAAAATATATTTATTACTAAATTTTTTTCCAAAAAGAGAATATTATACAAAAAAAAAAACAAAATACAGACGGACTACCATTGTACCACCAAGTAAGCTTACTGTACAACAGACTAAAGCTCACTTGAGTGAAGGCACTCGTCAACAAGGTGTCGAAGGTTAGGGTTCTCCATGGCAGCCACAATCCTTTCCTTGTCATTCAACTGCTTGTTAACTGTAAAAAGTAAAAAACCAAAATAAACTTTGATATTAGTTACCACGACTCCACGTGTCATTAATTAACTATAATTAAGCTTTTTTACCTGCTGCTTCATCTGCATGTGATCCAGGAGCTACTTTGATGTCTACCTGTAGGTAATATTTAATAAATATTTTATGAATAACAAGTAATGTAAGAATCATAATAATATAATATCATATATTACAAAATGATGAAATTAATGATTTTGTGTAGTTATGACCTTAAAATGTGGAGGGAAACAATCCTTGAGTTTAACCCTCAAGCATAAACCAATTACTGTTGCCATACTGCAGTGCTGAATGGTTGGGGTGAAACTTATCCTAAAATACAACAATCAAATTATTTAGCATTTAATTTTCTTTTTGTCTTAATTAATTAAGTCGTTTTGTCCTGATCAAATAAAAAAAACAAAAATAGGTAACTGTCCTTTTAAGATTAAATGCTTGAAAGATTTATAACCAAAAATATATTTAGAAATGAAAAGAGACCATTAATAGTAAGATATTGGTGAAACAAAGTAATCAATGTTAGCCTAAAACTATAGACATAATGAGTCACTAATGTTAGTTTCTTTTTAGTTGAATCGATACAAAATATTATTAAAATTCACAGGGATCACGAGAGTCCGATAATGGAATCTGCTCACTATTCACGAAGTACCTTTTCAATTCAGTTCTAAATCAACAAAAACAATTTTAGATACATAAAAATGTTTGATCTATTCACAAAAAGAAAATTATGCAACTAAACTATCAAAAATCGATGTTCATGTAGAAGATACGAGTTGTGAAATTTGAAAAATCATAAGCAGAAGCAGCGGAAAGAGATAATAAACTCACAGTATTCGGCCGAGCTTCTCGTCGACGGTGATAGATTCCTCCGATAGAACACTCAGCTGTTCCAACGAATAAGGATGCTCCGGATCTCTTATGTCCCTCACAAAATTTGTCGATCTAAAGTCAAAGATCACAACAAAATCATCTTAATTTCTAATCTTCAGCTCAATTACCTTACAAGCTGCAAGCAAATTAGTAGAACTAAAAAGAGAAACTGAAAATTAGAAAGCGTATAACAAATTAAGAGCTAATAATCAAGCGATTGCAAGCAAACGAATTGGAAAATGGAAAGGATATCATAAATATCAAGAGGATCAACGGCTTCATGATCGTCGCAGTGAAGATGAGCATCTGCTCGAGTGATTCTTTCTTTCTTTTCACGTACAATCGGATTTGCGTTTATCAATCCTAGAGTCATTGTTGCCTAATTTCTACCCCGAATTTAGCTAATCAGGATCAGGGGAGTGGTTGTTGATGACTTATTCTTTATTATTTTGTCTCAGAAGAAGACTGGTGGTTTTGCTTTTAATTTACAATTTTGCCCCCTCCAAATACAGGGTACTTGTGCCCACAGATTATATATTTCCAACTGTAAACTATTTGCTGAAAGTAAAAAATAGTGAAATACTTGAAAAAATATGACGTTCTTACTCTTCAGACACATGCTCATCATCATGCCCTGGAATGACTTTGTGCCTACAGATCACTAATCAAAAGGACTTAAGTCCCTAACAATAACATATGTTTATATTTGCATTCTCTTTGCATAAAGTGTCAAGGGTGTTTGGGAGTTCTTTTCAAAATTACTTAGTAATATATTAATATATTAGTGTTTCAAAAATTCAATAAGTAAAAAAAAATGTTTTATACACATCAATTTTTAATATAAAAAATAAATTTCTGACTTTTCCAAAAAAATCGATTGAAAAACGCTAAACGTTTTTATTTATAGAATATCTGTATTGTTGATATTCGCCCATGTATACTGGGCCCAAGTAAGCCCATGTATAGACTTACTGAAGTCTGAAGTCGCAATCTCCTTGTTTGCCTCATTTTTAAATCATTGGATAGATATGATTTATTTACGTAAGGCTAGTAATTCTCGATACGATCTGCAACACGACACGAAATAAATGAGTTTTGGTTGAGTTTTTCAACCCGTCAACCCGTTTATTAAACGGGTCATATATAGGTTTCTCAAAAAATAAACGGGTAGACCCACCAACCCATTTATATTATTAATAAAAAAAGTTATTTTATTTTTAAATGTATTTATGTATCAAGTATTAATATTTAATAAGTATTATATAATATATACCATTGATTCATAGACCATTTGACTGTTTTGATATTTTAACTCGTGGTGGATGGTTTAAGGTCGTAAGTCGTAACCTATAAGGCTAAATCTGTAACATGTTTTTATGAATGTTTTTAATTTTAATTTGGATGTTTAAGACTTAAATATCTAAAATTCATATATGTCTCAATCAACCATTAAGAATTTATTCATGCTTAATTGTCAATTTTATGTATGGTATATGACATACGAACCCCCCAACCTGTGAACCCGTATAAATAAATGGGTTGGCGGGTCATATATAAGTTTATGTTCCAAACCCATCAACCCGTGATCTGTCAACCCGTAACATGTATATTTAAATGGGTCGTGTTTGGGTTGATATATTTTAACCCGCCAACCCGCGAAACACCAACCCGAATACGACACGATTGTCAGACCTATTTACCCCGTGCTAGGTCCCATACTTGCATACATCAGATTTTTGACATAGTAGCTTTTCCACCAACAAAAATGTCAACATCTACCTCTCTTATCATATTTTTATGAGATTTTCAAGGTTTGTTGTTAGTTTTTCCAATTGAGAGACATGCTTTATAAATATTAGAATATATATTACGTTTAATATATCAATTTTATGTAAACTCCTATTGCTATAAAGCACATCTCTCAATTCATACGCCTTTTAATTGGAAAATTTGAAAGGGTTCACAAACAAAGTTGGTCGGATTACTTTTAACATATGTTTGTGAATGTTTTATTATAGTATTGTATTCAGTAGAACTCACGGTGTAAACATAAAATAATGATGTTTTACATTAAATAATGTATGTTTTGATACTATTGAGAAAGAAAACAACACGTTTTCACACATCCATGAAGTTGTTTTGGTAATTTTATAGATTTAAGTTGATAACCCAATTACCCATTAAAACTTCTCATAATTTTGGGACAATATACTTCTCAAATACTTTTGATTGCCTAGACAAATATATGTCATATTAATCAACCATGAGTTAAAAATACATATGCCTATTCAAATTCTTAGTAAAACTTCATCAACTATGAAGACTCAAGAGATTCCTCAATTAGCTTTTGGGTGAGAGATTTAGAGAGTCCCATAACACCATCAGAAGTTCCAATCTACATTAAACAAAATTAATTGATAAAAATTGAATATTTTATAATAATGTGTATATATTTGTTGATGGAAGTTAATAATGAGAGACTAACCACAGTGTCAACAAAAGGAGCAGTTAGTGGATGTTCAAGCATCAATCCTCCGGCAACATTAAGTGTCACCCCTTCATCTACCTACAACATTAGCTATAATCAATACCATAAAAAATAGAGTAAATTACATTTTTAGTCCCTGAATATAGTTAATTTTTGCAGTTTCGGTTCCAAAAAAGAGTCTTGCAATTTTGGTCCTTTGTTTGAAGTTTTTGTAGAGCTTCTAGACTTTGTTCCAAGTAAAATGACTATTTTTATACCTGATGTTACAAAAACATTACCAAAATCTCAAATAAGGACCAAAACTGGAAAAGCAACATTTTGGGATCAAAATTGAAAAAATCAGCTATTTTTAGTTTCCAAAAATGTAGTTTACTTTAAACTATATGCTCAAGAATTAAGATTATGTGTCATAAGTCAAACATTGTAATTTTCATGGAAGAAAGGAGTAAATATTGTTCTCTTACTCTTTCAAAAAAAAAAAAATGTTTTCTTATACATTACCAGCTTATCAATGGCCTCATCTGGTATATCATGAAAATAGACCTGCACCACAACAACAAGAAAATCAGCCAAATTTAATAAAAAAAAATTGTTTAATGTTTATAAATTCAACTATTAAGCCAACCCACACTTTCAGTGGATGTTCATAAGCCCCAAATAGTGCCCGATGGTCATTAGAATGTAGAAATTGACATCGACAGTCCAAAACAGAACAGAACAAGTTGTACTGTATCTGGCATGCACTGAAACTGGACTTGGCATGAGACTGATGTCAAAAGGTAAAGATAATGATAATACCTCCGACCTATCCCATCCTCGTTTCTTGATCCCTGTGGTAAGGTTAGTTACTACTACTGATCCCACAACAATAGCACAACCGCCTGAATAACCTGAGAAACATCACAATATAATAAGTCAACTTCTAGGCCCCACCCATGACAGGCCAGGTTGTACTGTGTATGACATTCATTAAACCGAGAACGAGATTGATGTCAACCACACAAAATTTGCTATCTTTTGTTCCACCCAAAAAGGTGGTCCAAGGGAGGACAAATACTCGCTCGTGATCTTTTGTATGTGTAAAAGACGTAAATACCCTCCTCAACAATTAGTTTGAAACACGTTTTCCTAAGCAAATAAAACCTTTGACAAAATGGCGTGCTTCTTCCTTGCTCGATGGTTTTTCACGGATCGTTCCTTCATACACAACCACCTGAAAAATTAAATCAAATGTAGGTAAGTAATAGTAATTAAATATCACCGAATTTATTATATGTGTGTGTATTTTATCAACATATATAAGTTTTTATTTGCAATAATGAAATTAAAATTGGGAACAAGGCAATGCATGTATACTGTGTCTGCTGTAATTAGCAGTGTGGGACGTGCGTTTTCCTCCTTATGTCCTGCAATTCCAAGCCTTGAAATGAGTGCATCAGCCTGATAAAAATTCAAAATCGATTAAAATAAAAAATTTATATATGAAAAATGAAATTAAACCCCTTTTTTCCCAAAATAAACACAAAAGATTCAAGAATGTACCTTTGCCTCAGCTAGAGCCACTACTAGATCCTCTGGTTTTTCCTTCCTAATGCTCTTTTCATCAATATCTGCAGTCTAAAGTTACATGAATGAATTTTCTATGTTTTCAAAATTGATCATTTCCAAATAGGCAATAGTTACATATAGAATGGATTTTGAATCTTTTAAAGTACGAATCGATTAAGATTAAACTTTATAGGTAAGTTACAAATCAAATAATATTGAAAATTGAAAGGCAACAGATCATAATGTCGCAGAAGAATTAGGGAATATTTCATAACTCACCATGATTGTAAAATCATATCCCATCTCTGCTAAGATTTTCCGACGAGCCATTGAAGAAGAACCCAGTATTATCTTCGCATTTTTCATCTTAACAACAAAATCAAACGAGAAATTCAATATCCGGCTTTATAAGCGATGTGAGCAAAACATAGGGATTACTTTAGTTTGTAGGTAAGAGTTCAGGAGAAGATAGTACTGCGAACCTTGACTCTAGGGTTCGCCATTGATGTCTGTCGCTCCCGCAAACCTTTATCTCCCTCACAATCGAAGAGAAAGATAAAATGTGAAAAGTGGACCCAACTGGCGGCAAAACTTGCGTCTTTTTAGATTGTTCGGCAATGGTCCCTCTATAATATTTCTACCTTCCAACTTTTGTCCTATATAATACGGATTGTATAATTTTGATTTAGGTTGATGTGATCCGGAAATAGTCATTTTATTTATAAAATTAGGGGTTAACAAAAACAAATAAGGAATCCGAAAAACCGCAAAAAAATCGAAAAAACCCAAACCCACATAAAACTAATGGTGAAGTTTTAAAATAAAATACAAATTTTGGTGCGGTGATGTTTGATCGATCCGAAGATGATGGAGGTCGATTCAAGGATGTCTCTGGTGATCTCAGACGCGATGAACTCGCGTAGCCTCTCATCTATTGGCTCGGAACCTGATCCCTCTCCTGTACTGCCAACTGCTGGCCTCTAAAGTAGTACCACCATTCTGAAATACAAAAGAAATGACAATTGTTAGTGATATTGATACCTCTGGAGGGATCACACTTACTACAAGTTCCCGGTTCTTATCTTGGCATTCCTCGATTCGGGTGCGGATCCTCTGCTTTCAGTAGTACGAACCCATACTACCTTCCACATCTATTCGTACCTTCTCCAAGGACTGTCTTGACTCCACCAGGTCCTTTTCACTACCGCTGATCTCTGCTACTCCTATCCTAGGCTTACCCTAGGAAACCTCCGACTTCACCCAACCTAGTCCTCAGCTGCTGAAGGCCTCTTGGTGATGCCAATTAGCTATTACCTGAATACAATCACACGTGACGAGGCTCGGATAATCCTTCAAGTAAGGGACTCATCCCTACAACGGTGAGGACTCAAACAAGAGCTACGCAATAGGGTCAAATCCAACACTCTGAGATTATTCAACCCTGATCACATGTGACTTTAACGTATTCACCTAATAGCTAACTCCCATCACTTCAAAGCCCACATAGCACAAAGCAAATAGCATTTGGACATATAGAAAACAATCTCAAGCAACTCTATCCTCGTAGAGAAAAAAAAAATGAACTAGCATACAATGCTAAACTCACACTATCAGGCATAACCTAAACAGGCCATCCTACTGCTGTCTACTCAATTCTAGCATGCAACTTTTCACACACTAAAGCACATAAAGCAGGCACATAAGGCATCACTCCTAGATCCTTAGTCCTATTCTAGCATGTTGTTCTACTGGAACTGATAAGCATAACATAAGCTTGTATGGGTACTTTGGGGAATACTTACTTGAGCATGGTCGGTCGCGCACATCACACACTTCGTTCTTTCTTAGAACCCTTTACTATCCTTTTTAGAAAACATTTTCTTTTTCCAAAATCTTTTAATCCTTCGATTTGAGTTCAAACACTTCCGAAGGTGTGTTCGAATCCCTCAAACCAGGGCTCTGATACCAACTTGTAACATCCCAAAAATGCGAGAAAAAATTTCGTTTTTAAAACATGTACTTAGCAAAACATTAGGAATAATTCATTCAACAATCATTTCATTTCACCAAAAGATGTTGCATGTCAGAAAACATTGTCACAATCATAAAAATGTCAGAGTACAATTTTCCCAGGAAGATATCGTAATGCGGAATACGAGCAGGTGTGTGTGTGTGTGTGTGATGTACCACTACCGCGCTAGCTCCTTCCCCTTTGAAGAAGAGGTACCCGAAACAAAAACTGAAAACTGTAAGCACGAAGTTTAGGGAGTTCCCCCATAATACCTCATACCATGCAAGCATACAACATGCAGCTAGGAGATACGGGCCTTGCCCACACTCATGAAGATACGGGCCTTGCCCACACTCCGCTAGCTGGGAGATACGGGCCTCGCACACACTCCACTATCTGGGAGATACGGGCCTCGCCCACACTCCACTCTCGGAGAGATATGGGCCTAGCCCACACTCAGCCGCTAACCCATATCATACAAGTATCACACAGACAACAAGTATAGACAACTCTATCATACCGGCATATATCATAATCAACTCAACTAAGAGATACGGGCTCGGACCACACTCTAATACTAACGTCTCGTCTACACGGGACAACATTGGTGCCTTAGACCAGTTACTACTGGAAGGAAACTCACCTCAAATTAACCGCCGATCTGTGTGGAAATTGACTGTCTGCTGCTGCTGCCGCTCTGGAAATCCTCCGGCTATAATTCCCACAAAATACTCAGTCAAATACTGCTAACCTCATTCAGGGTAAATTGTCCATTTACCCTTAACAAGTCATGAGTCAAGTCACAGTCAACTGCCAGTTGATCAGACTCGTCGAGTTGGCTTGCCAACCCGCCGAGTCCCTTTCTCTATACCCAAGGCCAATAGTCCTTCATACTACTCGCTGAGTTGTATGAACAACTCGCCGAGTTCACCTTCATCCGAAGAACACTCTAAGCTGTGACTCGTCGAGTTGTATGAACAACTCGCCGAGTTGTACTTGAGATAAGAAGACTACCATGAACTCGCCGAGTCATGGCATAGACTCGCCGAGTGACTTCATGAGTGAGTCTAGCTTCCAACCCACTGAGTCACACCCAATGACTCATTACTCCAAACCTGCCAATGCGAATAAGGGGAAACTCGGGGACTCGTGACTCGACTCGCCGAGTCAGATGAACAACTCGCCGAGTCGGCCACATGCAAAAACTATACACGCGATTATGCTTGGATCCAGCTCATGCCATTCATAGATCTGGGTTTCTAGGGCATGAATAACACGTAAAGTTTCCAACTTTACGTGTAAATAACCACCAATAAAGGTTTTAGGGCTCAAAATGCACCAAAATAGTAGATCTAGGGCTTTCATGCAATATGGCTCCATAAAGACAGCAGATCTAAGCTCCTGGAGCTCAACCACACCTAGATCTAAAGGCTAACAACTTATTACAACCCATAAAGCACAACAAGCTTGGGGGAAAAGCTCAAGAAGGACTTCTATGGAGCTAAAAGGGACTATAAGCATGAAAACAGGGGGAAATCGAGTTATACCTTAAGGAACGAATTGAGATAGCTCAAAGATGCCTGGCCTCCTCCTCTTCTTCTTGATCTACGTTCCTTCCCACTCCAAAACTTCAAGAAAACACACCAAAAGCTTCAAACTCACAAGGAACAAGGCTTGAACGAAGTATAGGGCTCTGAGGGTGAATGGGGGCGAGCTTGGGGTGGAAATGAGGGGTTTAAATAGGGTGCAAACCCTTGAAATTTAGGGTTTCAACAGACAACGGTGATTCACTGAGTCCAGAATATGGACTCGTCGAGTCGCCAACTTAAACGTGCTCCCGGATCCCGTCTCTACTCGGCGAGTCGGACCTGCAACTCGCCAAGTCCAAGGCTAAAATGAAAAAAATATGAAGATAAATTTTACGTACCAGAAACCAGGTGCTACAAATCTGCCCCACTTATTTTAGACTTCATCCTCAAAGTCTGCCGCTCGATCCTGAAACAGCTTGGGGTAATGCTCCATCATTTCTTCCACCGGCTCCCAGGTCTACTCGGACCCCTTTCGGTGCTGCCACTGCACCTTCACTAACTCCACCCTCTTGTTCCTTAGATCCTTCGACTTCCGGTCAAGTATCGCGACTGGGCGTTCAATGTACTTCAGGTTGTCATCAACCTGTATATCTTCTAACGGCACCACTGCGGAATCATCCACGAGACACTTCCGCAGTTGGGAAACATGGAAGGTTTTGTGGATCTGGCTGAGCTCAGCTGGTAGATCCAGCCTATATGCCACCTTGCCCACCCGGGCTACAACCCTGAACGGTCCAATGTATCTCGGGCCCAACTTGCCCCGCTTCCTGAGTCGGATGATGCCTTTCCAAGGCGACACCTTCAGGAGAACCATATCCCCGACCTGGAATTCCAGGTGTGATCGACGCTTGTCGGCATAACTTTTCTGCCGACTCTGCGCAGTCTGAAGCTTGCTCCGAACCTGCTGGATTCTCTCGGTCGTCTTGAGCACCACCTCGGTACTCCCCATGACCCTCTGGCCAACTTCAACCCAGCATATCGGGGTCCTGCACCTCCGACCGTACAACATCTCGAACGGAGGACGGTCGATACTCGCGTGGTAGCTGTTGTTGTACGAGAACTCGGCCAAGGGAAGATAGGTATCCCAGCTACCATCGAAGTCTAGCACTCAAGCCCGTAACATATCCTCCAAAGTCTGGATGGTCCGCTCACTCTGACCATCCATCTGCGGGTGAAAGGCGGTGCTAAAGTGCAGACGAGCCAACTCATCATGAAACTTCTTCCAAAACCTGGAAGTGAACCTCACATCTCGATCTGATATCACTGACACTGGCACCCCGTGTCGTGCCACTATCTTCCTGATGTAGATATCGGCTAACTTTTCCACCGAGATACTCTCCTGAGGAATAAAATGGGGGCTCTTGGTCAATCGATCCACGATGACCCAAATCGAATCCACTCCTCGCACCGTCCGGGGAAGCTTTATGATAAAATCCATCGTAATATCCTCCCATTTCCATAACGGGATATCCAACGACTGCATCTTGTCGTGCGGTCTCTAATGCTTGGCCTTGACCTTCCTGCAGGTCAAACACCGCTCGACGTACCACGCCACGTCCCGCTTCATGCAGGGCCACCAATAGTCTAGACGAAGATCCCTATACATCTTCGTCGCCCCTAGATGAACAAAGAATCGAGATTTATGCGCCTCCTCCATCATGATCTGGCGCACGCCTCCATGATATGGCACCCACACCCTGCGGTGTAGTGTCAATAACCCCCGACTATCATAATCGAAGGAGGTGACTTGACCCACTATTCGCTCACTCTTCCGATGTTCCTCCTTCATAGCCTCCTGTTGAGTCTCCCGAATCTGCTCCAACAGGGGAGTCACCACAGTCATCCTCATGCAAATATCCCTGATCGGCGCCGTCTTGCAGCTAAGCGCATCGGCCACCACATTGGCCTTCCCTGGGTGGTAAAGTATCTCGCAATCATAATCCTTCACAACGTCCAACCACCAACGTTGCCTCATGTTCAGATTCGGCTGGTCCATGAGGTACCTCAAACTCTTGTGGT